ACTTTGGTAGTTATTTCGTCAATTTGATTTTTCCATAGTAATTTTTCGTCGATGACAATACCTAATGTTTTTGCTTGTTTAACTCTTTTTATATCAATACCGTCAAGACTTATCTTCGGATCGTCATCAATTTTCGCTAACCGTTGCCAGTATACGTCTAGGTGTCTAATGCATATGAATATTTAAACGAGAAAGGACAATTAATGCACTAACAATTATTTATCTGCACCACTTTCATGATGAATTGCTAAAAGCCTTACATCTGTTGAATGGTCGTGGAACTTTAGTGATTCAGTAGAACTTGGGAATTCATTTTTGGTAAGTTTTTGATAGGCTTATTTCAAATTTGTAAGTATCTCTGTTCATTTTTAGTTACATATATGCCTATTTCCCGTCAGGGGTTAGCCTTTCAATCTCTAGCAAAGATATATGCTTTCCACTTGAACTTTGTCAAGATACAATGCAACATGTTTTTATTTGCAAATACCTTGAAACGTTTTAGATTTAATACTTCCCACTCATTTCAAGCGAGAAATCTTCGTCGAGCGATTGTACTGGTATTATTAAGCATCAGTCTAAAGCCTTAAGTCGTCGGTGTAACTAAAATTTGTTTAATTTTGGTTTAAAACACTGTTTTAAAGCAAGACCGGTTCTTGTAGAATTCTCTCAGACAGCCGATTTAGCTGTTTGCTTCTAGTACGACAGGTGTTTTAGCTCGCAATGTCAAGAAGTTTTCATTTAGCAGGAGGCTGCCCCAAAAGGCAACAAACGTTTTGTCCTAACCTATAAGGTCCTATAAACTAACTAGATCGTAAACGAATTTCGGTCGTAAAGGCTTCAATAAAACAAATTGGCTACACGGACCATTCGGTTGGGTTTCATCATTTTAATGAGAAGTAGTGTCTAAGCCAGCCTCATAGGAATTGCCACCTGCAAATTAGACACCAAATTTTGAAATCCTTGTGAACCTTGACGCGGAATGATGGGAGACATTTTTGGGAAGTTAAAATAAATTGACATACAAAGACGAGTATTGACATTTGACGAATATTTCTATGCTTGTATGATCGAGCTGTTCCTTCATCTGTTGAATGTAAAATTCGAGTGCAATTATTATAATACCCACTCACCGAACTAAGTGGTACTTGTCAGACTAGAAAAGCTGATACATTTCAACTGCTTTATGGCATGCCTTGGCATTTGCATTATAAAATAGTTTCTTACATCTTTGCTAAACTTCCCTACGATAGATGGCTGCGTGAAATTTTGAGGTGCATGTATTGAGGTGCTACAAGTCGTTAATGATGTCCAACGCCTATTATTATTGTGATATGTGCAGGTGTATAAGGCCGAGTATTTGCATAGACACCCCATTAAATATCCTTGTGTCGTGTGTCGTTGGTTAAAAGTCGTGTGCCGTGAGTAAAGTTGTGGTAAAGTCGTGGGTCATTAAATGTGCTAAAAACGCATTTTTTCACGAAAATATTATTTTTATTTTTAATTAATTTTTTTTTCGTACTTTTTCCTTTTATGCGCTACATAAATACAAGAAAATTTAACGCAACAAATATGCAGTATTAAAATAAAATACATGCTATCTCTTGCTGTTATCTGTAGTATAACAGGTAAATGTTTGGAAACACCGGAAGTTTTATTTGTAGAGCACCGCACTTTAGTACTGTGTCTGGTTCTATAAAATCCTGAACTGGGGTCATATTATACTAACAAAAACTTTAAAACTGAGCCACCTACCTGGAATACAAACCTAGCGAATACAAACCTAGGGAATTTGAGAGCCGCAGCACTCTCCCCTTGACAAGCAAAATCGACTGGTCAGTGGGGCACAATGCAAATATGGTGACAAAGTAGTTTAGTTTTCATTTGTATAGCCCCAGCGAGTTAACGCTCTTAATGTTAAACCTCGAGTTACACTAGACGGGTAGTTTAGACAATAGTAAGGGTTTCTAACATTTAAAATCTCAAAAGAAACAGAATTTAAATTAAAAATTATCGTTTTAGACCGGGAGGCGTGTGAATATGTCTTGAAAAATTGTCGAATACCGAACTTTAGACAGAAAATTTAAACCGGAAAACTATAGAATAGTTAAGCATCTGCACACGATTAAATTGTAGAGTAAATCATTATCCTTTTATCCTATACGCAAAAAAAGTTATTGAGAAAAGCGTCGGTCATATGAACATAGGAAAAATATCTTTGTATGATTCAGCTATAAAACCTTTTTTCTATAAATTTATCGACAGTAACTTTAGTTCATTTTTTTGCATAGTACTACATGTAGATTGTGATTATTTCTAGTTTTCGGGTGTCACATTCAATCATTATTCCGCTTTTTTCCACAGAAAAGGCAAACCATCGAAGTTGCTTCCATTTTGAGTTTTTGACAACCTTCGGAACACTTGACACCACGTTCCCAAGGAATATCTCAGTAAGGGTAACGCATGCGCAGACGTTTTTCCACGGCGTTGGTGGTGCGACCATTATGTTCGGCGCGTTTGCATCATTATGTGGTATTGAACCAGAATATTTGGCATGCGGTTTACTCAAAGAAGAATGTTCTGTTACGTCATATGTCTTGAAACATATATCAATGCTTCCATCACATCAGTGCTTCAACTTTCGTGGAAATTTCCATATTTTATGGAATTTTTGAAGCGAACTTGAAAATGGAATTGGAAAAATTATGTAAATTTTATGGAGAAAATATTGATAATTGTACTAAAATATGCGTTCAAGTCCAATCAATCCAATTTTCAATGAAAAGTTACATGTCATATTACCAGCATGAGCTCCGCCTAGAATTTCCTATATGAGTTATTGTTAATCAACAATACATTCGTGACACATGTTGAGCCCTAACCCTAATCTAATCCAGACTGTAACCCCCATTACCTTAATATAGTCTTTTAATCTAACCCTAATGTAATTTTAATCTAAACTAATCTAAACTTGGTGACCTTTTTTTCATAACGCACGGTGTACCTGAATTATTTCATCAATCGTGTTATATCTTTTCAGAACGGTCCTCATGCTGAATTAGACAAGAAACAATGGGCAACAAATATAATTGGTTGTACTTTTTTAATTATTCCATCCATATTCCTGGCAAGTGCGCAACATCCAAAAAGATATATCCCGAACTTTTGTTACAATGACAGGTATAAAGGTAAGAGCCAAACTTCTTTATATTGAAGAATAAGAAAAAGTTTAAGAAACAGGAGTTCTTGATTACTCCATGAAACATTTATTATTTTATATTTTTATTTAAAAGCAAAATATATTGCGTACGTTGGGCCTTCAAATCGTGCCGACGTCTGGAAAGTTGTCATTGAATGCCTCTAACTCCAAAAAAGCAGCAAAAATGCTGTACAGTGTATATTCGAAATTGAAAGGCTTTGTAGATGAAAGGATCGAGTCGTAATTAATTAGACAAAACCAGGAACAACAGCGAAAATGCAGCTATAGGTCCTATATGGGACGAATCGAACCTTCGGCCCTGCGTTTCTAGTACAGCTCTCTATCCAGCTGAGATACAGAGGCCAGTTGTCTAGACCTCTAACCGCAAGTTCATGTATAGGGTACTGTCAGGGATCTGTAGTTGCATTTCTCATAGCTGTTTTTGATTAGGGCTAATAAAAGTGTATAGATATTCACTCGATAATTACCATCTACGATACCATGCAACTAATTACTCAAGTACTATTCAATCGAGTGTGATGCAAATATTGATGTATATTCAAACATATGTCGTAATTTATTCTAACAACTGCATGCATCACATGGCACGGCCGTTCAGGCTCGATTCTTGACAATAATTACATCGCCACTGGTATCCCGCCTGGTCAACATACAAAAAAATTCACCATTTTGATTTGCCGTACTTGTTTAAACATTTACCATGCATGAATTAACAAATATAAAACATTTTCCGTGTTGATATACAGTTATATCAACACGAGTGGAAATTGGGAAAACGCCCGAAGGGCGGAGTGTTTTCACACAATTTCGAGTTTTCCCAACTTCCACGAGTGTTGATATAACTATATATCAATACGGAAAAATGTTTTATATTTGTTTTATAACATAGCAATGTCAAAAGCCCGAAGAATAAGAAAAATTTCCGTGTTAACAAGCGGCGGAAAATTTCCCGTGTTGACATGGAGTTATATCAACACGGCTCTTAGCCAATCAGCGTTCAGAATTTACAAATGCTATATTATAATGCATTTTTTAAACACTTCGCTTCCTCAGGCTTCAATCATTCATTTCATCTGCTTTAACCTTGACCTAACTACGCATTTCCACTATTCTGTAGAGAACTCTGGGCATTGCATATATTATCTCTGACCGCTGCACTTTAAAACGTTTTGCTCCCGAGAACATATTAAGCGCCAATCGACGACTGCTTTTAATTGGGGTGGTAATTATATATGTATTCGTCATATACTCTAGGTTTCAGACTTAATACGACCATTTTCACGACTACACACGTTTCTGGGCAGTTGGATTGCCTTATCGTATGTGACAAGGAACCATGTTGCAGATCAATCAACTTCAAAAAAATACCGAGTTCACACGATGATCAAAATTGCGAAATGCTTCATAATCTGGTATACAATACATCTGAGAAATTGCTGGAAACAAACGCCTTTTTCGATCATCTTTATTTTGCAAGCTCAAAAAAGGTGAGTCCAATTTAATTAACTATATTTCTTATCCCGAAGTAGTTATTACAGCACATGCATTTGTAAAATAAAAAAATGGAATGCGAACTGTCATGTTGATGTTTTATTCTTTCTAGTTTTAAATTTAATAAATTTCCAAAACCTGATCGAAATTTCTTGTTAAAATTACAATTATTCCTATAAACTCTTTTATTTGATCAACTAATTAGACAATATATTCGGTTTCCGCATGTCTCGAGCATGCGCGTGGCTTCGATTTGACTTTTGTACGGTGGCCCACAAGTGTCACAACACATTTCAATTTAAAAAACACACGCCGAAGTCCACAACACATTTCCAAACTGGAAACACAATTCAATAATTGCTAAAAACACATTTCAATAGTCACAACACATTTGCGAACTAGAAACACAATTCAATAATTGCTAAAAACACATTTCAATAGTCACAACACATTTGCAAACTAGAAACACAATTCGAAAATTGTTCAAAACACATTTCAATATTCACAACACATTTCACACTCGAAAACCAAATGATTGAAAA